TACCGTGTGTGTGTGTGTGGCCACTGGCAGTGGCAGTAAATGCATGCACTTGGAGGTGGTGGCGAAAATGAAAAAGGTGCTCCTGCTTTTAAATCGATTAATTAATTAATTAATTTAATTAATAATGCAGTGTTACTGTGTTTTGTTTTGAAATATCTAATTATTTTTGTTGACTTATTCAACTATCTAATGTCAAATGGAGTCAATATCTGATTGGACTTTTTTTCTATCAGTTTGCATTCTCTAGTCACTAATATTGGAGTTGATGTGCAAATTCTCTTTAATTAGACCGGAGTTAAAGTGGTGATGCCACGAACTACTTCCTACCTCGGAGTTTTGATGAACCTTCGACGTCGAAGTTAGAGCCGATTTTTCGCAAGTGTAAAGAGGGCCGGAAATTAAGAGCAGCCAATGATTTTGAACACATGTCAATCAATGATTGTAATGTTAATTCATGTAGAAATAATGTCAAAAGAGTAGAAATTTGAATCAAACTACAATCTCCAATGCATCAATTTGATAAGACGTTATTTGTATAGGTGGACCAATTAAAACAATCATTAATACAAGAACAATAAAAAAATTAAATGAAATATAAAGTGAATTGATTAGTCATCATTTTTTAACATGGTGTTGGATATTAGAAAGTGTGTTCAACATTGTCAACATTAAATGTTATCCACATCATCATGAAAGAGCTCATGACAAGATGCATTGGAGAACAAGTTAATAACACACTTTCAAAAGTTCATGATATGTATGCATTTTTGTAATGTCAAAAGCCACATTGGAGATGCTCTAAGCATTTGGGCCGGTTTATGTGGTGTACTTGGGCCGAAAAATTAGAAGTCTTGGACTTTTTGAAAGGCTCGAACAAGTGGGCTAACAAGGCTTCGCAAGGGCTTGCGACCGGGCTTTGAAAAATTGAATGATTTTTCGATTGACGAAATTAATAAAATTTAATTAATTTAAATAGACGAGGACATCTAAATAATCGTAATAAGCTTAATCGAGAATTTGTCGAGCAAATAATATAAAAATAAAATGCAAGGCAATGCAAATAATAGAATAAAATATGACAACTCATATAAAACGATGGTAACAATTTTTATTCTCTTTCTTCTGAAAATCGTCACTCCTGGGTTTTTGCTCTCATGTCCTTTCATCATGAACGTCTTATTCTTGTGTCTCACTTTGAAAAGTTTGGGTGTTGTTGACATGATAAGAAATCATGGTACTGGGAAGACTATGGTGTCTTTTGGTCGTTTCTGTCCATGTATTGCGTCAGAATTTATGCAATCGTTTTCTCAGTGTTAGTAATATTCGTTCTTTTTTATGCTTCATGGTCTTTATTTGCAGTCGCATTAATAAGTTTAATCCTTCTTTCATTGATACATACTTTGGCTTCTCTTTTGATCCTCTGGGAAAAATTATTGATAACGACCTCGATGAAGTAACATATGCTATCACTGGTGGTGGACGACTGACAAATTGGATCATTCCTGACATATTTTTTCACGAGTCTCACTAATCAGGCGAATGCTCTTCAAAGGATAGGCTCCCTGAATTGGACCCTTACTTTTCATAAGAAATGAGTCACTGTTTCTCAAGCTAGGGTTATTTACCGTGTGTTTTCTGGAAAACCCTTTGATGTTGGTTCCTTGATCTTTGATCCAGTCATGTCCTTTGTGGGTGTTACCAAATCCCACAAACTTCTATAGTTTCCTTGTGTCATCTATGGTAGTCTTGTTGTGGCCGAGGACAAACTGGACGCTCGTGTGGGTGATGAACTTGCACCATCAAGTAAAATTCCCGCTCTAAGCACTAGGCCAAGTCTACAGTTGTTAAATCTACTACGAAGGCTTCTGATGTCTCCTTCAACCTTGAATATTTCTTAGTTCGGCAAATTGATGTGATTGGTGGGCTCGAAAATCAATTGGCTGATCAAAGATGGTACTACAAACAAATTCTTGGAGAGCTTCAAACCATCCAAGAGGATCTTCGGGGGCTTCTACATCTAAAATGAAAAAGTGGGAGAGTTCTGCAAAAGGAAAAGCCAAGGGAAAGAAGAAGCAACTACAGTTGGAAGATGAAGAGGACGGACAAGTGTTGGCAAGTGAGGAGGATACCAAAGAGGAAGAAGATGAGGATCTTGGTGAGGATGACGTTTAATGTGGCTCTGATGTTTGACTTATTTTCTTTATTTGATTTGGTTATGTATTAAAAATTCTTAAGCTGGGTTATATTGGTTTTGTGGTGATTGAACTCTTACTTTATGGTTTTTTTTTCTTTTTTTTTTTCTTGTGATGGTTGATGATTTTGCCCTTGGTGAACTATGATTGTGTTGTTTTGGTGAAAACTTTCTATCATTATGTTGAGCTTAGTTAAGTTGTTGGTTCATTGAAATTTTCTCTATCTTATGTGCTTTTCTTGTATATTCTTATAAACCTTGCAAGTGATGTTCAAGAACGAATTTTCAATTTAAATACAAAACAGGGATATTGTAAGAGTAAAAGTATTTTGTTATTAATTCAAAAATATATTTTATTTTTCTTTTCTATTGTTTCTTGAACTTAGGTTTCCATTGGTGGAATGAAAGATGAAAAAGGGAAGAATCAATCATTGTGTATTTCTCTGAATCAATTGCCTACTTACCACCCTGTAAACAAATTGAGTGTAGTTATTTTATAGGATGATGGCGCCACATATGGTAACAAGAAGAAAATGAATTACAATGGATGAAGATGGCGAGATGAACTTGGACGTGCTCAACTGACCAAGTTTATGAAAATCCACTGAGGAGATCTTCAAGTTTTGGAAAGCCGCAATTTGAACCTTCATACCATTTTGGGATAATTGTAAACATGACACTCTATTGTCGTTTAGAGAACTGGGCTGAAGAGTGAACAATTGTACAAGTTGACTACACACTGAACATTTTATCAAGTACTTGTGAGTTGTTTTCATTTCTTGTGTAAGTGTTGAAAATTCCAGTGTTAGTACAAACTAGGATTTAGAATATGTGTTGTTAGATCTTGCTTAAGTTCTTGGGATGGCCAAAAGAGTAGTTGACTGGGTGTGGTATAGTGTAGGTTAAGAAGAGTGAGTCTTCTTGTGTAAATCCTAATTGTATGGGTTAGTCAAACATCTTTTCAATGAAAGAGTTCTGAGGGTGAGTGGAACACTATCTTGAAATTACATCATTAGTTATCGTCTTCATCAGCCTTTTATGTTCTCACATCATTTTTATGTTTGCAAGCACATCTTTGTATTCCTCTAAAATTTCAATTATAGGATATGTAGTAGAAATCTCCAGATCTTCGTGCAGTCACTAATTTATGTTTTAAAGAGCTATCGGGCCATCGCCTTCAAGCGTTATATTTCAACCTCGGGAGGTTAGTTTCCAGTGTTTTTGTAACGACATAGATCCCAAACAAACAGGTGGAGATCCCTTCTTAAGAGACGAGTTTTCATCCATGCTTATTTGAAATTATCAGCTAGGTTGCATTGGATAGTATTGTTGTTGGTCATCTTCCTGCTAGTTAACTTTTTAAAAAAATTAAGTGAGAATGTTTCTTACAAACAAAGCCAATTTTATCTGCTCTCCACCTCACGAATCGAACTCCATTTCAAAACTGATCTCTAGTACAACAAAGTGTCGTGAGGGGTATTCGACATAAACACTCTGGTTCTGAAGACAACATGTACATTAAAAAAAGCTCTCTATGCGGCTGCATGCGAGAGCAATGATCTTAGGGTTCTCATTCATTTTTAGGTAGTAATTATAAGTATGGTTCCCTAAGTAATAGAATACAATTGAATCTCATCAAATCAGGATGAGATCTTTCACATATGCATAAAAATGGGTGATTGGTGAACAGTCATAATCGATCAGATCTTTTTACTATGTTAACTCAAAATCTAGTCAAATTTAACTCGACCCCACTATACTCAATATTATCAATATAACTAAATAATACCAATAATTTCTCTCCTACATCACATCTGTTGATTTGCGAAATTGTATCAACTTCATTGTATTTGTATATATCAAATTTCTACGTAATTCAATGAAAGATTCAAGAAGAAAATTATAAGTCTGTATTGCTTTTTCTGGTTCCTCTCTTAAGTTGAAGGAAATGTGTAGATAAGGGAGCCCAAAGAATCAACACATAATATTTCTGGATTTTTTTCAAGGACTGTGTATCAATAATTCAAGAAAACTCTCTCTCTCTCTCTCTCTCTCTCTCTCTCTCTTTTTGTAGATGGAGATCAGATGAGGGAAAAAGATTCCTTGAGGCGGTGCCTCATTTCTTCAGATAGAGGAAAATACAAAGGTCCAAGTCCCCCCTAGCCCATACACGCATATACACATATATAGGACCTTTATGGGTTTTGGCATCTAATGGGCCCTTATATCTATTGGATCTTAACAATACTTTATAACATAATATAATAATACACACGTGATGAATCAGATATGACCGCGCAGGGCCCAGTAATTATAATAAATAACGGCTTTGATAGATATTTGTCTTGTCGGAAAA